TGTCGGGCGCTTTCCATTCAACCAAATATTCCGAAAATTTTGAGACGGAGACAAATGGCACGAAAATTTCCTGGGAAAGTTTCCGGAAAATCCGGAAATTGTTGAATTTCCGAAAAGTGAACCATTCAGTAGGAAATTTTCGGAGGAAAGTCATATGGAACGAAAATTCCCGTTAAAAATTTTCGAAAATTTCTGTATAATCGAAAGGTCATTTTCAGAACGAGACGATCTCTTACGTCATGGCGTGACCAATAGATGCAGAATGTGCATTATTTTACGTGTTTGGAGAAAGGTAAATAAATAATTTGTAATGCACCGGCCTGATGGGCCCCTCGCCTCGTAAGTAGACTTTACCTACAAACAAACCATTATTTTACTCTATGTTTTAAATGTAAATACTTCCCCATCTCACCCGATTTTGCCCAGTCAACAGCATCTGGTAAAGACTTGATGTTAGTTCCCTTGGGTATTTCAAATCTCTTCCCGCCATTTAATGCATCAGGTTGGTTATTTGTTAACAGTCCCTTCTTCTGTTCCATCTCTTCCTCCGTCATGTCTGCCATGTGATTAGTCTTCAACCTGTATCCCAGGTGTTGGCGATTTCTTGACTTGATGTATCTGTTAAGTTAGCATAGTCCATTAATTATTTTCTCCCACGCTCGATTGGTCAAGACGCATCACGTGACAGAATATTACCCAGCTAAAACTCGGGAACATCCAAGTGATATTCCCCAATTTTCAAAACTGCTAACAGTTTTCCCCAAGCTACGCTCTCGGAGAACTATTCACTTATCTGAGCAGAATATGACCGCAGACAACTGAATATTTGAGCATATTTTCCCGCAAAATTGGAGGCTATTGTTTACACACATCTCTCTCTTCACTAGAGTGTGTAGGGGTGTGGTATACATGACAGCTGCCAATCAAACGTTTGTTCGTTCACTGGTTCTCATACAGGATAATGGGATCCACGCAGAATTTGCCAGTTGACGTTCTGAGTCATTTGTTAGTCCGAGAGTGAAACATTTTGTAGCTTGTTAAGTTTTATCAGTTTTCTGTTTTTGCCGTTTATTAGTTAACTGTTACATGTAAAATGTTGATGTCATACCTTATCGTCAGTAACCGTATTAAGACTGAATCACGCGTCTCTGTTCGACTGTGTTGTTTCGATTCCATCCCTAACCTGTCCCCTCCCCTCAAAGACATTTTAAAATATTGCTGACGCAGACAGACAAAGTACTTTTGGCCTATTTTGTCTCAGGCGTTCTTCTCAGTGATACAATTCCCTCCTCCTGCAACTTGCTTGGTTATAAATTAGCTTAAATTGCTTGATGATTGGAGAGTCAAATATGACAAACAAATGACCGCATGGCAACTCTAACCTTAAATTGTGTCTGTAGATGTCTTTCCGTGTCTCGTGTTCTCTCTTTGAGATATAATTCTTTCTATACTTCGTCTTGAACGACTGAAACAAAGTGTTGACCACGTCTTCATAGTGACGCATAGCAACCTGGTAATTCGAGTTCAGGTCACCATTTCTGATCCCGCCTGTACTCTTGGGGACTGGTGACGGCCGAGTCTCATTCTCTTTCTCGAGAGACCGCTGAGCACTCGTTGCGGATTGTGACGGGTCAACAATGCCAGCATTAACTACTGGCATTTTGTTTAAGGACTGCAGCAGATATTGCAGAGGATCGGTCTCAGCCGGGGACGGAGTGGTCGTGACGTAATTTGACGAGTGTGACAAAGTATATGGAGACCCGGATGTACTGTGAGGCATAAATTCTACCATTGGATTTATTTCACCAAGAGATTTCTCCAGTTTCTCGTGCGAAAAATCGAAACATTGGAGATCTGAAAGAGAAAAAAAATGTTACAATTATTCCAGGGGACTGCGAAACTCACCAAGAGCTTGTGTAAAATAAGTAATTAAGAAACGGAATGCAGCGAGGAAGAGAACAGAAAAAAATATATTATCGAACTGATAAATGATACTGAAACTGAAGTACTATTTCCAAACTCATTAATAATTTATCAAGTTAAAACAAGGAAAATCACAACCGTGAAGGAGGTTTGGATACCCGGTCTTAATTAGAATAGATTTTGATGATTTTACTTCTCCGTTTACCATTTAAATTTTTGCCTCGATTGAGAAGATACATGTATATCAAACACCCGAGACAGTGTTTCATCGGCTATCCAAACACCTCGAATTTCGTCAAAAATACTCCGCTGCGCATCATATTTTCGACTCCTCTTCTCGGTGTTTGGATATCCCGATGAAACACTCTTGTGTTTAATATATTAAGTAAAATATTAAAAAGCCACGTCAAGAATTATGTTTGCACATAGACATTAAATCCCTGTAATGTTTCTGTAACACAAAAATTTCTCGTTTAGATATGCGCGGGTTTAGAAATGTGGGAATAACTCACTCTTGGGATTACAAGGAAGTAGGCAGATGCCCGAAAGGCTATTCGCAGAGTACTAATCTTATCTTAAATTTTTCCTATTTTTGGCATGTTTCATCCTAGACGTTCCAGAGTAATAAACATAATATTACGCATGCTTGCAAAGCACATCATTTGCACGTTACAATAGCTCTTTTCCCGGTTAACAATTTTCATTTGCATTGTACTCTAGCATGAATGCGAAGCAATAAGAAAAGTTCTGTAGTCCTGTAGTTTCTGCTCGAAATTGGTTCGCATCCGTCTTGGATTATATTGTGTTAATATAATTTCCAGAGGTGAACATAAGAATTGGACATTCTGATTGGTCGAAAAGCTCCGGCGGTATATGACGCCATATTCACCTCACTAGAGCTTACTAAGCTCGTAACCTTTGCCCAACTCGGCAAGTAAACATAGCGGACAGTTGCCGCATGAAATTTTCATTTATTTGAAAGACATCACTCCAAGTCCTGGATATTTGAGAGGATGGAGTATTTTCAAATTGACTGCTTTCGCCCTTGAACCCACAATCTTTTCAAGCACTCGTATTCAAGGCATTTAAGAATCGTTAACGCAGTGGTTACGTTGATCGCCAGCAAACTAAACTAAAACTACTCATTCAAACTAAAGCACTCAAACTAAAGCTACTCATTTTTAGACGATGATGTCAATTGTGAATGAACTGAACAGCGATAAAACAAAGGTACTGGATGAATTTATTTTGCGTGGTGTTTCTCTCGTTTGTTTTACTGCCGAACTCGATGAGTAAATTGATTCACAATCGATGTACATGTAAGCTTATTATTAAAACCACGGCTGCATACGTGTATGCGCACGAACAATTGCGTCTGTGTTTTTATGTTTTAGTCCGTTATTTTGTAGTCTTTGATATTCGCCTCTGAAAATTATACTAAAACAATTATTCGCCTCAGGCTCAGTGGACATAGGTGAATATTCACCCCGACTTCGTCTTGGTGAATATTCATCAATATTCACTTCGCCTTCGGCGAATAGTTGTTAAATACAATTGATGAAAGTTAAGCAAGAGCTATTCGAGACCTACGGCGGAGGCTCCGGTCACATTTTCAGTAACCATTACTCAACCTAGAAGCCTCGTGCAATTAAACTGGAACCAGTAAGTTCTGTTTCCGCTTTTTGATTTTGTCTGAAGGGCACCGGACGTTCGGCCTTTGCTGACCGAAAACGCGCAAGCCCTGGGACGAGATTAAAACCCACCTAAAGATACTAATCTAATTCTTAGTTGGCCCGAGGTCCCTGGCTTTCACCCCCTCCTCAAAGATCGAGCGACTTCCGAGCGCCTGAGAAGTCAGCCTGGCAACATACCTGTTGGAATATCAAATACTTTATAACTGAATTTCCAAGCTTCAAATTCGTGGTAATCCAGGATGTAGTGATCATAGTAAGATGACAGTAACGTATCATATCCCATCATTTCGTATCGCAAAGGTCTTGGCGGTCGGGTTTTAGTTGTGTATAATGTGTACGTGTTGACTTTATCGTAAATTGTGAACGAATGTTCCCATTTGGCGCACTCTTCACCGTTTAGTTCTGCATAGCCAGCGTACTGAGACAAAACAAAAGTAACTATACATTACTATGCATGCCGTTGCTGGTGGAACAAGTTGCTAAGTGACTGGTAGTGGCATAATGGCAGGGCCGCGACTTTCAGCGTTAATCTGTGTAGTGTGCTCACATCATTCATCGGATCCGAGGAAACGTGCAGTTTTTCAACCAATTGGGGCCGGCATAAAAAACAAAACCAATGAAATATAATTTGTTTTGCGCGCGTTTTTCGTTCCTGTGCTCCGGTGCGTGGTCTGACGTAGCACTGAATTCACGATGTCTTCGTGCCGAAACTTGTACATGACACACCTTTTTGCTTTGAGGGCCTTATTTTATTGGATGGACAGTGTGTCATTGAATGATTGATGTGTACTTCTTAGCACGAAATGTTTCCCTATTAATTGGTGGAATGGTGGAAAAAAGTGGAAAGGTTCAAGAGAAGTCAATCTCTCCTTGTTTCTTACCTTAAAATATGACGGTGCTGGTATGATGCTTTGAGCTTTTATTGGGAATTTTTTTGTTCCTCTTCTGTGCATGCATCCCGTGAATGTTTTCTGTTTCGCCTCAGAGTATTCAGGAACTATTTTGCAGGCAAACCCGTGCCTACCAAGATCCTCACGCTGAAATGTCCTGTCCATCCCTGACGCAAACAATTGGCCATATATGTATTCCCGGTATTGGACTGGAACTAGCTTGCAACTGAGGCTAATCCAGGGAATCTTTTCAAATGCAAATGACATATATCTCTTTTTAATGATATTGCCCTGCATAAGCCTCGACTGCAAGCTAGTTCCAGTTCAATACCGGGAATTCGAATATGGTCTATTTAAACATGAGATTATATAGAGGAGAGAAAAAAAACGCGGAGCGGTTTTGCTATACCGGGCCACTTGTTAATATATCTCCTAAAGCTTCTAAGAGCGAGGCATACAGAAACAAAAGGAACCATTCAAATTCAATGAGATGCAAATGAGTGGCCCAGTATTCTGCAATCTAGCATTTTCAGGCATGGAGGGAGAAAATCCGCCGTACCAATGAAAGCAAAGAGAAAGCCAACTTACAACAAACTTGACCCACTTAAGCCAGCCCGGGTCTGAATGTTACTCGTGCAACAAAGGTGTGTGACGGAGGTGGGGGAGGGGTTACATAAACGTTCCGACCATCCCTACTATCCATGTGCCCCCAAGTCCATTGCAGCCGAAACACAATTTCTCCAACGCTTGTAAAATATTGCACAGTTCAACTTACCATTATAGTAATCAATCCTGCTCATCTTTTTCGTTTTGGAGTACCAAGCCTCAAAAGGCTCCACAATGTCTCCATAAGGAAGCGAAAGCACGCCTTTGGTGTGGTAATCACCCGGGAATTGTAGAATCTCCTCTACTGTGAACACGTGACGCGTCATGCGCTTTCCAAGAGGAATATCGTCGTTGTCATGATCTTGATTCAAGTCGTAATAAACGATTCCTGTTCAAATATTAATAATTTTAGGCTCAGGCCAACGCAACATGAAACTAGAACGATTAAAAGTTCTAAGTGTGGCTCTCTTTCACACACTCAATGCAATTCTCAAACTCTTATGGAAGTTTTATTTCAACTGTAGTGCATCACTGCGCCAGTTGGGTTAAAACAAATAACCGGTTGAAACCTTAATTAAGTTTTTACTCGTTTTAAAGACCCCTCTCAAATAAGTTCCTCTTTTGCTAGAACGTCCTTTTTTTTTTCAGTTGAGGCTTTTGGAAAATGCAAAGGCAAGAGCATTAACGAACGAAAAAATCTTATTATTTTGAGGTCACCGCATGTTTTCGTTTGCTTTCGTCTCCAGCCACTTTGACAGAGCTGCAGCATAGTACCAAAAAGAGGTTTGCTGCATGCAAATTCGAAGACATATTCCTTTATTTTAAAATCCTAAAAGGAAGCCTGTAGTCATTCCCAGAACATCTTGCTAAGGACTTCATTGCGGCCTTAGAGATAATACGTGGAAATCTTTTGTTGTTGTTTTTAAATCAAATTACTTAATGTTATGCGGTTAACTTGTCATAACTCTGCGCCATGTTTGTTGACCATTTGAAAGTGGCGGGCAAATACTGCAAACTGGATGCAGGATTTAAAAAGTATTGGCCCGCGAGTTTGGCACGAGCCGTTAGTGATCTCACGGCACATTAGTGAGTAAGTAAGTAAGTAAAGACTTTATTTAAAGAGGGTAGCACTAAAATACACATTCTTGTGAAAGGATAATTATTAACGTTTCAAACCAGTAGAAACATTTTAAATTATGTTATTAAATACACCTAAAATACGCGCCAAAACCAATAAAAGACAAGTACACGTAACTAAGAAAACAGATTATATTTTAAAAGTGCTTAAGGAACTTTAAGAGAGCCAAACTTCGTAAGATTTACCTGTTCGTCAATCGCACAATACAGACACCAAGCTAACATAAACTTTACTACCTTCGTTTATCCTA